AGTATAATGTATTGCCCAGGGATATAATACAGGGAGAAATATCAGAAAATAATGATACGGTCCTAGTTACTGCAGGAAGACATAAGATAAAAGTTTTAGGATACACTAAAATCTCAATAAGAATACCAGGAAGTCCAATGTGGAGTGGGACACTGAACGCCAAAGTTATTTCATCTATATAACACAACCTATTATCTTAGGAATGGAGTTTTTATTAAAAAATGAGGCAATTATAGATCTCCCACGCAAAGGAATAATTTTAAATGGAAAACACAGAATACCCTTAAGGCACACAAACAACGAAAAAAGACTTATGACGGGCCTAGTCACTACAAAACAGCCAGTGAAAGAGAAGCAGCCTAGCCCTAATTTGAAAATAGATGAACTGGAGTTAAACAAATTCATAAAAGGCCACACTTACATAACAACTGACCAGGTCAACGGTTTCCAAAAGAAAAAAATGGAAATATAGGCGCCCTCCCAACTAACGCCGTTTTAGCAGTAGGTGTGGTGTAACCCAAGGGTACAAAGCGAAAAAAGCAATTCTTAAGAAATACTGACATTTGCTTCCTAGAAACAGGCAAAAGGGGACCATAGGAGAGTTAGCGGAACAAAACATGGGAAACAATCGGCAATTTTTTTTTACAAGAAAATCCATAAGAGAAAAGCCAACTCCAAGAAATGTTTAAGAGCACTTAGGACCAGCATCACACGAAAATCGGTTGAAAAATTAGTCATCCCAAGACAAGGATGGGGATTAGGAAAAGAATGGACAAGATTCAAATAAATGGTATATTTTCTATTTAAGGACACGGGCGTCACGATTCTTATATACAGAGAAAAACCAAGTCATAAAATAGGAGAAAAACCCGAAGAGGAAATCAGTAACCTAATGCAAATCAGTACGAAAACTAAAGATAAAGTACACAAATTAGGTGTTACTAAAGGTTATTGATATTGCAATTAAAAATTATGAACGAAAATAGTGAAATTAAGAACAATGTGGGCTGCCAATGCAGATATAACTTGGACTGGTTAGCAAAAAATCATCTGGTACCTACTACAAATGCACATATACACAAACGAAGGCAGCCTTATGTTAAAAGTGAAATCAAATACATGGAATCTAGTAGCTATTTACGCGGGAACAACAATGGCATTTTTAGGAACAACAGAAATACATCACTCCTACAATCTCATGCTACAAGAAGAGAAGATCCAAGAAAACGAAGAAGTAACGCTAGATGACTTTCTTCTTGAATATAATGATGTTTTTGCAAAAACGAATGGGCAAAACCAGCTTAACACAACACAAAATAGAAGTTGGGGATGCCACGCCAATCAAAAGTCATCCATACCGGGTATCACAGAAAGAAAGACAGATCATAGACGAACAAATTCAAGAAATGCTTGATAGCAACGTTATTAGGCCTTGCCACTCTCCTTGGGCCAGTCCAGTGGTGCTAGTGAAGAAAAACGATGGGAAAACCAGATTTTGCGTAGATTACAGGAAAATAAACAGTGTAACAAAAAAATCAACTTACCCACTGCCGCAGATCCACGACATCTTGTTATACCTAGGCAACGCAAAATGGTTCAGCACCCTCGACATGTTTTCTGGATAGCTGCAAGTTCCAGTAGAGGAAAGTTCGAAGCAATATACCGCGTTTGTGGCATAAGGGCATGGAACCTACAAGTTCAACGTACCTACTAAGTTTTGGGTTATGCAATGCTCCAGCAACCTTCCAAGAACTTGCGTATCAGGTCTTCTGGGACATGAAATGGAAAGAAGTGCTAATTTACCTGGATGACATCATCATATTTTCCCACACTTTCGAAGAACACTTACAAAAGCTAAGAAATGTTTTTGAACGATTAAGACAAGCTTCTCTAAACCAAGCAAATACGAATACTTAAAACAGGAAATCAAGATACTAGGCTTCAATTTAAATGAGCAAGGAATTTTACCGGATAAAGAAAAAATAGTTCGAATCAGAAAATTTCCCACACCAAACAAAGTCAAGGATGTACAAAGCTTTTTTGGACTCTGCAACTTTTATAGAAAGTTTATTTACAATTTCGCATCAATAGCCAGACCATTGCATGATGTCACAAAGGCTTCAAATAGTGTACAAAGCAAGAAGAAGCATTCAACACTCTCAAAGAAAAGCAAGTCCCATGCCCCAACTACCATCAAAATTCCCCAGTACCTTCCACCTTGGAGTTTTGACAGAACCTTTTTAAAGGACATTGCAGGGACAAGCAGAAGTCATTCAGGTCGAGGACTTTCCACGATTAAGTGTTCGGGAAAACTCCTCAGACACATTTTGCCGATTTCTGAGTTGGCAAGTTTTCGCTCATAGATCTAGGGTGGCTAATCCGTTATTTTAGCACCAAATCGCCTTGTGCGGATTTCTTTGTGAGCCGAAAAAGAGCAACGTGATCAATTGTTTGTTCCTAAAGGCCAAAATATTTTGGTAAATGGTTTTTCTTATTCGTCTTCTCCGTGTTTCTCCACTGCCTATGTATAAGCATAGTTTTCTGTTAATTATATGGTTAAATTCAGAATATTGGACATACCTACCTATCGCTCCACGCCCAGTCTCATAACGTTCATTTGTTTCAGGCCCTTATTCTTTAGACGTCACGCTTTATTCGTCACGTTTTAGTCGTCACGCTTTAGTCCCTAACTTTCAGTAAAGAGTTATACGTTAAGCTTACTGTATATTTCAAGTAGTACCTCCAATTTTCAGCCTCCTCTAGACAATTGGAAGCCCTAGTGACTCCTAGTTACTGAACTTCAGTGTCCAGGGCCAGTTGCTTCTTGTCGCGATCCTGATCCAGTTCCAGGCCATCGGAAACATTGGAAGATATTGGTCCAATCCTTCAGGTTCCCCTTTAGAGATTAGGGACTACTCAGGTTTGATAAGTGTGTTGTATTGTCTTAATATCAAACCTTACCAACCCCTTGTTGGAGTAAATCACCACAACCACGCAGTTCTAGTACAATATTAGAAAACCCTTCAGATTAGATGTTGTTATTTCAGTTTTAATTAATTATATATATTACCTTTATTATATGAAATTTACCATTCAGGTTATGTACTGTTAGGTACTTCAATTTTACTTATTTATCTATACTACCTATTTTATCCCATAATATTAAATTTGCCCTTCAGGCTATGTATTGTTACTTCAACTTTAATTATTGATCTATATTTCTCTAATAACTATCCCATAAATACATGCTGCACTGAATACAGGAAATACTTGTACACTGGGGTTAAATGGCCATTTGCGAAGGTACTGCATTCAGTAAGCTTATTTATTAATTTACATTTCAGGTATTATTACTGTTAATTGTTATACAATACTCTTTATTTCTTTATTTAGGGACTCAAGTTGAGTGTACTTAATTAATAATTATTGTAAATACTATTTTAAGAACATAAGGTTAGGTACTCCTAGACGATTTCTTTTCTTGTTCTGGTTCCAGTGTAAATAATTTTCAGTGTTCCAGGGCGTTCGGAAAACCCACTCCGAACCTGCTCTAAAGTCAACCTGTGCTGGTTCACATTTCTGGTTCTAATTAAAACCTGTACCTGATTGTAGCAAAGCGTTTCACTTTTGTCCTTCCTTCTTGTTTACGTTTATATTTCAGGTCGTGCTGCTATACGTCCGTAGAAGTTTCCTGCTTTCGTTATATCGGTTGTTTTCGTGTACTGCAGGGAAAAGCAGGTGGCGCTCTATATTTAATTATCTAATTGATCCACACCCCTCTCCGAATTGGAAGCTAGTCGGCAACCCTTCACACGAAATCACGTTTCTAGATTTCAGCCACCAACCAACCCTCTCTTTATATATTTTTTGTTTTAGTTACCCATTCACTGTCAAATTTTATTATTTACTTTTCCATCGTGTTTTGCGGGTAACAAATTATAACATAATAAAACTGTTTGAATATAATGATTTACTGGGAATCGTACGTGCCCTATCCCTATGTATTTTGGTTTGTGATCGGAATGACACAATTACAGATTTAGTGTTTACTCTTTTTTTTTCGTTGTTTTCTTTATCTGTGATAATTTTTGTAATTCTTCTAACTGAAAAAACATAAAAATTGCAGTGCAGATCAAACTCCTTCATTTTATTTTTGAGAGTTTCTTCACTTATCTCTGTCTCTATCCCTGAAATGACTCTCTGCCTGACTACCGTAAATTTTGGTATATAAGCCTCTAAATTATAATTCACTCACTTTTGGGAACTTACCAATTTATTCGCAGATTGACCATCTTTGAAGTTTACTCGTATTCTATTCCTTCCCACAGTGTCTATTTCTTTTATTTTATTATCCAATTCTGGGTGAATTGAATATATGATATCGTTAACTTTAATAGCGCTCAACTTACCTCTATATTCTGAGGAAATATTTTCAATAAATACATAGAGAAATCCAATATCTCTGATGTCGTAAAGAAAATTATTTTTTTGTTTAGTTTCTTTATTATTTTCGATTATATCTGTCAGTTCTGAATTGTTTTTACCCTTAGTAAGGGGTTGGGAAACCCTTAATAAGCCTGAAATATCTCCAGTGGCCCTATATCGAAGGGTATGCCCCCGCTATCCACATCCATATTGAAATAATTTTAAGTTATTTGCACCTTATTGCTAAGGAATTTAATCGCTTATAGGCAAGAAAAAAACACAGTCCGATAGCAGGTACCGTCGCGTGTCGTATCTCTCGAATAGCCGAACTGAACTGGCATTCTTATAATGACAAGACCTCATGGGATGGAAATCCATTACAAATTTTGCAAGGGAACAAAAATGCTTAGAAACTTCCTACTACTAACCTGTCAATTTTTAAATGGAGTGAATTAAACCGGCCCTATGCTGTTTCGTTTAGGCGCCCAGCAAATATCGCCTGCTGAAGAAATAATTTCAGTCCGATATTATTCTGTTAAATCAATAATAATTATAAGTATTCGACTGTTGTTTCGAGCCTAGTTTTATTAGATAAACAATTTGATGATATGTTATTTAGAATAAAACAAAAACACTTTGGCTGCATACAATTCCTTCCTTGCACCTCTAGGAGGAGAACAAACCAAGCAATGTCTGTAGTATACCCGGCTGCTGATCTGATGGCTGCTTAAACGGCCGAGACTGAGGAGGAGGCCTCCTGTTAGGCCGGCGACGCCGCTTAGAATTTGAACCTGGCTTATCAGGGCGTCCCCAAGAGGGACGACGTCGACGAAGCTGACCACCCACATTTGAATTCTCAGAATCTGAAAAAAGTAGAGTAAATATTTGCTCGATGCTAATTTTAGGTGGAAGAAAAAGACAAGTATCATGAAAATTAAAGTAAACAGGAAGCGGATGAAATAAAACATTTAATGGTTAGCCATAGGACATAGATGAATATTATCGAAATAGTTTTTTCTAATATCGTGCGTAAAGTACTCACTTTACGCACTATTAAAAACTTCACTTCACGCACTAGTATGCGTAAAGTAATGTCAATGACAGATGTCGACACTGTCAATTAAAGTATTTTTCTATAGTTCATACCAAATAAACTGTTAGTCGCTCGGCCGGCACAGCGTTGCCGTCTGTTTTCAAAAAATTAGCTCAAGATTGCACCTAAACCAAGAACTGCCAAAATGCAATCAAAATTCGAAATGTCAAGAAATTAATTTGGCAGCGTTACATTTTTTAGAGTAGTGCTACCAACTGAATTGCCAGCGGGAAATTCAAATTCCAATTAAGTCAGTCCGACGCCAATTATTTCCATGGCTGGTGATAACGATTTTAAAAATGGCGTCATTGATGTCATAACTAGAAGTTTATTTGGTATTGGTATTGGGGGCTTTGCTGTAATGGTTCACAAAAAGAAAAAAACCTGGTTACAAAGACAAGAGCCGTGTCAAACAGAGTAATTTATGTAATGATTAGGATCAACGCCATGTTCAGTATCCAAATCATCCAAGCATATGCATCCACCTTCGCCTCCTCAGACAAAGAAATTGAAATATTCTACGAAGACCTAACAACTGCAAAGAACACAGAAAAGATCAAAATCTATGTGATAATCGGCGATTTCAACGCGAAGGCTGGAGTTAGGGTACCGACTGATCCTCCCTTCGTCGGTAAATTCGGTCTGGGAGCTAGGAACCAAAGGGGACAAACCATGATCGCTTTCTCAACAGGGAGAGGCTCTACTGCATGAATACCTTCTACAAAAAGCATTTGAAAAGAAAATGGACGGGGAGGAGCCCCGATAACATGGTTAAAAACGAGATAGACTAAGTTCTCGCATCAAACCCCCAATTATGCTCGGAAGTGTCAGTACTAAACCGCTTTGACACAGGCAGCGACCACAGATTGGTCAGAGCCAGCATTCACGCCAATACTCGATAACAGAGAAAACCTTAAGTAGAAAGAAAGATAAAGCCAACCACAAGTGAACTGCGAGAGAGGGAAGAAGAATTCAACAGGCAAATTAACAAGAAGCTGCACCCAATTAAAGATATGCGAAACATGGAACTAAACGCACTCTCAACGAAGATGACCTTTAATATTAGAAACGTAGTGCTAAAAGTCTATTCTCTCCAAGAAACATCTGAAATTCAGTTTAGGAACAGAACAACTCATCGAAGAACGGAGGAACACTGACAAAAACTCATCAAGGTATGGGGACCTGAATAAGATCGTGAAGAATGCCATCAGAAAAGATCAGAGAGCTTATAATACGAGGATGGTCGAGGAAGCCATACAGAACAACGCAAACATAAGAGGGATCCACAAGATGAAAAACGATCAAGGCGTCATTGTAAATGAAAGAGGAAAGATCGCAGAAATTATTGAGAATTTATATCGACGACTCCACAGCCCATCGGTGTCATACCCAGGTCAAGAAGGTCAAATTCATCAGCCAGTCCTGAACATAGGATCAGAAGAATTGGAGCCCATTGTTGAAGAAGAACTAGAGGCAGCGTTAAAACACCTGAAGAACTGCAAAGCCCTGGGAGAAGACCAGATCGCTAGTGAGATGTTAAAGGCCGGAGGAGAGACACTCAGTATTCACCCTAGCAATGGAGGACGCATTTAAAAACCTATCATGGGATCAGAAAAGGATCAAGATCGACGGGAAGTATCTTAAACATCTCCGCTTCGCAGGCGATATTGTCCTCTTTACTAGCGATCCGGCCGAACTTAAGACGATGCTCCAAGAACTCAGAGTAGTCTCCGAAGCTTAAAATGAACCTACAGGAGACCAAAATCATGAGTACATCTAACATGACAGTCACCATCGAGAACCATACTCTGGAGCTAGTCGAAGAATACATATATCTGGGACATAACATCAAACTCGGAAAAACTAATCAAACCGGAGAGATTAGGTACCAGACGAATCGGCCTCAGCTGGGCAGCATTCGAAAAGTTCAGTTATATACTTCGCCAACCAAAAATCCTAGTGATCCTTAAACGGAAGGTCTACGATACCTGCATCCTGCCTGTGGCGACATACGGACTGGCAACAGCCACCCTTACAATGAACAGCGCCAACCGTCTTCGAGTCTGCCAAAGAGCAATGGAGCGAGCAATGCTGGGAATAAGTCTGCAAGACAGGATCCGAAACAATATTAGGCAGAGGATGGTAGATTGCAAAGCTCAAGTGGCAGTGGGCGGGGCACCTGGCCAGAAATAACTCCAAATGGACGAAAACCTAATGCAATGGAGACCCAAAAAAAAAACAAAAAGAAGTATAGGACGTCCGCAGGCGAGATGGAGAGACAACATCCAGCGACATCAGGGAAAAATTGGATGAAGTCCGCCCAAGATAGATCGACATGGAAGTGTTTGGCCTATGTCCAAGAGAGGACGAACACAGGCTAAAGAAGGAGAATATTTTAGAAAAATATAGTTCAGGAAACTGCACCTTTCTCCTAAGAAAGTTGCAGCTCTCCAGCTAAAAATGCATGAGCCAAATTAGAAAAATATTCATCAATGCCGATATCATCTGAAAACATTCTAATGTACAATACTTCTTTGAGCACTTACCTAGAGAGTTTAGATGAACACTTCTGCGATCCCGATCAACATCTAAAAAAAAAAAAAAACAGTGAAAGTAATGTTAACGTACACTGGAATGAAACTCACGTTCAATGACATTAGACTTATTTTCAACTTCTTCAACTAACTGAGAGTTTGGCCAACCATGTACGGTGGCACAAACTACTACAGCAATTGCAATGAAAATAAAATATTTCATTTTGTGATCTGCATGACAAAATCTGTTTAATTTATAGCCCTTCCGCCCATAAGTTTTATTTCTTATTATTAATTGGTTGATAATAAAATTTTCATTATTTAATTGAAATTTCCCAATTTTGATTAATCAGTAAAATGCACTTTATTATTACTGGCCAATATTTTTTCAATTAATTGATTTTTATTGAAATTGTATTAATTAATTGAAAATTTCCCAATCTTATTCAATAGGTATAGTTAAAACAAGTACCTAATAAAAATAAAAGGTTAAAAAAATGTAATGTAGGATTCGTAACAAATGAGCATTCTTGTCCCTTGAGATTTTGGGTCTGATTAATGACGAAGGGAATACTTTGGACTACAATTATTATGCCATTTGACATGTCTACCACAAATAAATTAGGAAATAATTCTGCCTGTGACTTTGGATTTTAATTTTTACATTGTGTTATTTGACATCAAAATAAAACAATCACATAACACTATTGTCGAATATTTGGAAGTTGGAAAACATGGATACTGACACAGCATCTTTTCGGTTGCTAGTTTGTCGTTCAAGGGACTCAAATGAGATTCCGCGATTGAGCTGTAGGTATGAACAATCATTGAGAGAGCGCTCAGGTATGTTGTATGTTGTATGTGTTGGAGGTGTCAGTTGCGCCGCGACCTGGTAGATCTATTGTACCCCTCCTTCTGCTGCCAGGTCAGGACTTCCTGCTCAAAGCAGCCCCTCCAGTCCTAGGTCCTCAAGGAATCTTAGGATATCCAGCGGTTCCAGAGTTGAAATATCTTCCAACTGTATGGTGGGGCTTCCCAGATTCTTCATCCTTAAACGACTAATGGCATTACAATTCAGTAGAAGGTAGTGAGGTGTTTCCTCTCCGTGTTCGTAGAATCTGCAGGTGCCATTTTCTTCCAGACCTAATTTGTGTAGGTGTTTTTTGAGTCTGCAGTGTTCCGAGCGGAACCCGGTTAGCGTTTTAAGACTTTTCTTGCTAAGGTTGACTAGCAGTTCTGATCTTTTTTGATTAAAGTTGCCCAGTAGATCTTTGTCCTGCCGTAGTCCTGGCTGTTCTAGCCAGTGTTTGTTTCTTAGCCGGTTTTCTTCCTTTTTGAGGATTCCTTGGAAGTGCCTATTGCCGAGACCGCAGAATGGTTCTGGCCCAGTGAAGGGAGTAGAAGCTCCCGTTCTTGCGAGTGCATCTGCGCATTCGTTGCCCGCAACTCCCATGTGCCCAGGCACCCAGAGAAAAGTTACTTTGTTTTCTTTTCCTAACTAATTGAGTTTCTGTAGACATTCCCATACTATCTTAGAATTGATGACTGGTGAGTTCAATGCTTTGATAGCTGCCTGGCTGTCAGACATTATAGTAATTTCTCGTTTCCAGTATCTTTTGTTTAGATTGTGCACGCATCTTCCGATGGCATGCAATTCCCCTTGGAAAATGCTTGGTGACTTGCCCATAGGCTCCGAGTATCTGGTCTGTGGCCCGAATACTCCTGATCCAGTTCCCTCAGCTGTTTTGAGACCGCCTGTGTACCATTTGATGGTGTTTGCTTTCAGGGATTGGAGAGATTCTATGTTCCATTCGTTTTTCGTGCTTAGTTCGATGGAAAAAATTTTCTCGAAGCTATATTTCTTGATAGTTTCATCTTTTGGTAGATCCATAAGGTGTGAACAGTTTGGAAGAGGAAAAGCTCTACCAGAATGCGATTTTCCTTGAATACCGATCTTCGCCAGTCTGAGGTGTGATCCATTGGCAACCCGCCTCAGTATTATGTGGAGTGGTGTCAGGTCGACTATGACCTCTAGTGCCGCAGTTGGACATGATCTCATTGCTCCTGTTATACAGAGACACGCAAGTCTTTGCACCTTTCCTAGGGTTTTCCTAGCTGTTACTAGCTCGGTTCGGCTGGTGATGATGGGTCTCACTATCACGGTGTACATCCATCGCAAGATTGATGGGTTACAGCCCCACGTTTTACTCTCGATATTTTTGCAGACCATGAGTGCCGAAATTGCTTTGTTTTTTGTGTTTTCCACGTGTCGATTCCAGAGAAGTTTAGAGTCTAGGGTTATTCCTAGGAATTTTACTTCTTGCTTCCAAATGAGTTTGCTTCCATTGAGGTAAATGTTTCTCAGATTTGGGAGTTTTGTTTTTCTTGTGAATGTTACCAGCGTGGTTTTCGCTGGGTTTAGATTCAACCCCACTGACTGACACCATTCCTCCGTGGTTTGAAGTGCTTTTTCTAGGGTCTAAGGTCACAGAGTATTCCTTCGAATTTGCCTCTGGGCGTAACAACGATGTCGTCGGCGTATCCAAAGCAGGTGAAGCCCTGATCGGTCAGTACGCCAAGGAGATCATCAACCACTAGACTCCACATCAAGGGTGATAGTACCCCTCCTTGTGGACATCTTCTAGTTGTGTTGACTTGTATGGTTTGCTCACCTGCGTCAGATTCTGCAGTTCTGGTTGCAAGCATTCTGCACATCAAGGTGGATGTTGTTTTGTCTACTCCTTTCCTGACGAGTGCATTCTTAATTGATTCATGAGAGGTGTTATCAAATGCCCCCTCTATATCTAAGAAAGCACAGATGGCTACTTCCTTATTTTTTGCAGTGTGTTCTGGATGCTATCAGAGAGTTCAAATAAAGCGGTTTCTGTTGATCGTCCCGCTCTGTAAGCATGTTGCGGAGGATGTAGTGGCGTTTTTTCCAGAACACTTGTTCTGATGTAGTTATCTACAACTTTCTCCGCTGTTTTCAGTAAAAACGACGTAAGGCATATAGGTCTGAACAACTTCGGTAGAGTGGCGTCATTTTTCTCTACCTTTGGGATGAAGGTTACCTTGGCTCTTCTCCATTGAGTTGGCAAATACCCGATCGCTAAACTGAATCTGATCAGTTTCATCAAATACGGCATAATTTCATTTTGCCCTTTTTGCACAGCAGGGCTGGAAAGATGCCGTCAACTCCAGGCGACTTAAATGGTTGGAATGTGTTGATTGCCCAAATAAGCCGCTCGGGAGTGCAAAGGTTCTTGGCAACCTCCCAGTTTTCTTGCCTGGTTTTCTTGGGTTTACCTTTGCTTTCTCTAGTACTATTAATTGTACTTCCTGGAAAGTGAGTTTTCAGTAATAGCTCGTTCTTGTTCATTTTCTGTGTAGCTACCGTCTGGTTTCTTAAGGGGTTCTGCGTTTGCGCTAGTACAAAGCATACCATACTCGTTTGGCTCTCGTTAAAAAGTACCCATTCTTTGTGGAATATAGTGTTTAAATACAAAAGAAAAAGCTACTCACTTTAAACCAAGCCTGAAGAACGCCCAAATCCATTTTTCGCACGTCAGGAGGTCACAAGTAGGTGAATTATTACGTTTTATTGCTACTAACCTCGTAACCTCACTTTTCACTGGTCGAAATGTCAACACCGATGGAACTCCCGCCTACAATTTGTCCGGCCTGCAATAACCCAATCACTGATTTGGAAAACACGTGCGTTTGTTGTTGTATTTGTTTTCTACAAATTCACAAAAAAAACTGCAGCCAGTTGTTCGAAAATGGGAGCGGACAACCTGCATGGAAATGCCGGAATTGTATCGACACTACTGCCGAGCCGAACAATATTGCCATAACGGTTAACCACTTCCAGGCAATGATGAGACAAACCTCTGTCTATTATCAGTCCATGTCTCAACAGTTAGCTGGTGTCTCAAGCTCTGTCACCACTTGTAACACAAAAATCGAAAATCTAACCACCATGGTCTCCTCTCAAGGGGTCCTAATTTCTAATTGTGAACAGAAGATCCAAAACCTTCAATCTGAAAATGAACTACTCAAAAGCAGAATTCAGGATCTTGAGAAAAATTCGTCTGTAAACAATGTGGAGGAGTATCTCGCTGAAGCTGCTGATCGTGAAAGGCGCAAATTAAACCTTATTTTTGTCAATGTCCCTGAATCCGACAACGATCCTGCAATGCTCCAAGAATTACTAACGAAAATGCTCCCTTCGCATTCTGTAATCTTTCGTCTTGCTACGAGACTTGGAAAGCTTGGTGCAAATAGACCCAGATTACTAAAAGTTTCATTTAACACTTTTGATCAGGCCTTGTTGGTTCTTAAAAATAAAGGTAATTTAGCTGAAATAGCTTGCTATAAGCAAGTTAGAATAAGGTCTGATCTTACAAAAACGCAAGCAGATAGGCTCTCGTCTCTGAGACAGGAACTTCAAGATCGTAAGTCCAATGGCGAGAACAATATAACAATAAAATATATAAAGAATGTGCCGCAACTAGTGCCTGTGGCTCCATCATCGAAAAGGGATAGAAATATTGCGTTTTCTCCAGAGTCCAGCTCAGCCTCTTCCAATAAGCTGCCGAAGGTGCAGTAGCAGCCAACAATTTTATTTTGGAACATGGACGGATACGCGAATATTGACTGTCTACTGGAAGGAACTAGCTTAACTTGTTTAACCGACATAGTGTGTCTATCCGAAACATGGTTAACTTCAAAACCTGAATTACCTACTTACTTGGCAAATGTTTATAATCTTGTTTATTCTAATGCTGTAAAAGAGGCATCACGAGGGCGAGCAAGCGGTGGCCTTTTGATCTTGCTTAAAAAATTTATGTCTTACGAAATCTTACAAACTTCAACCTGGTGGCTTATTCTTAAAATTTCGTTTGAAAATAGATGTTTTTTACTGGCATTTGTTTACTTAAGACCTAGTTTAGATCTTAATACTTTGTTAGAATTATTGCAGTTGGCTTTTGACGATGCGAGGGATGCTAGCCCGGACGTGGCTTTTTACATCTGTGGCGATTTTAATAGCCGAATTGGCAGTAGTAATACGCTGGATGAGGAAGCTTTGATGGGCTCGCGTCTCTTGCATCCCCGTACATCTTTAGATCCCTTAACTAATACCAGAGGGCGTTTACTGTTGGACTTCGTTACCATCAACAACCTAGCGGTAATAAATGGAAGAACAGTAAATGATTCTCCTGCACAAT